TCTGTGCGAGTAACAGTTCTGTGGCCCTAAGTAACAGTTCTGTGGCCCTCAGTAACAGTTCTGTGTCCCTGAGTAACAATTCTGTGTCTGTGCGAGTAACAATTCTGTGGCCCTAAGTAACAGTTCTGTGGCCCTCAGTAACAGTTCTGTGTCCCTGAGTAACAATTCTGTGTCTGTGCGAGTAACAGTTCTGTGGCCCTAAGTAACAGTTCTGTGGCCCTCAGTAACAATTCTGTGTCCCTGAGTAACAATTCTGTGGCCCTAAGTAACGGTTCTGTGGCCCTCAGTAACAATTCTGTGTCCCTGTGTAACAATTCTGTGTCTGTGCGAGTAACAATTCTGTGGCCCTAAGTAACGGTTCTGTGGCCCTCAGTAACAATTCTGTGTCCCTGAGTAACATTTCTGTGTCTGTGCGAGTAACAATTCTGTGGCCCTAAGTAACAGTTCTGTGGCCCTCAGTAACAGTTCTGTGTCCCTGAGTAACAATTCTGTGTCTGTGCGAGTAACAATTCTGTGGCCCTAAGTAACAGTTCTGTGGCCCTCAGTAACAATTCTGTGTCCCTGAGTAACAATTCGGTGGCCCTAAGTAACGGTTCTGTGTCCCTGTGTAACAATTCTGTGTCTGTGCGAGTAACAATTCTGTGGCCCTAAGTAACAGTTCTGTGGCCCTCAGTAACAATTCTGTGTCCCCTGAGTAACAATTCTGTGTCTGTGCGAGTAACAATTCTGTGGCCCTAAGTAACAGTTCTGTGGCCCTCAGTAACAATTCTGTGTCCCTGAGTAACAATTCTGTGTCTGTGCGAGTAACAATTCTGTGGCCCTAAGTAACAGTTCTGTGGCCCTCAGTAACAATTCTGTGGCCCTAAGTAACGGTTCTGTGGCCCTCAGTAACAATTCTGTGTCCCTGTGTAACAATTCTGTGTCTGTGCGAGTAACAATTCTGTGGCCCTAAGTAACAGTTCTGTGGCCCTCAGTAACAATTCTGTGTCTGTCCCTGAGTAACAATTCTGTGGCCCTCAGTAACAATTCTTTGTCTGTCCCTGAGTAACAATTCTGTGGCCCTAACTAAAGTTTCTGTGGCCCTAAGTAACAATTCTCTGGCACTCAGTAACAATTCTGTCTGTCCCTGAGTAACAATTCTGTGGCCCTAACTAGCGTTTCTTTGTCCCTAAGTAACGATTCTGTGGCCCATTAACAATTCTGTGTCCCTGAGTAATAGTTCTCTGTCCCCAAGTAACGTTTCTGTGGCCCTAACTCTGTCCCTAATACAGAGCGGTCTGCCTCTGTTCAATGACTGGAGGCAAATGAAGAATTCTAAAATGGCCGCCATTTATAGCTCGACCATTACACAGTGCTGGCTGCCTGGCTGCTGATTGGCTAATGCGATCACATGTCATTGAGGAATGCATTATGGGTCAGCGCGCCTTGTCTGCGCGCCTTCCCAGACATCCCCGCTCCGTCGCCGCACATGTCCGCCGCCATTTTCGGAAAAATTTCGATTTGCGCGTCCGAAGTAGGCTATTTTTCGGATTCGGCGCGAATCGAAATTTTTCCGATATTCGACTCGAATTCCACTTCGGCTACTTCGATTCGCTCATCTCTAATAGTGAACTGTTGTAGACAGCAGTGGCCAGGTCAGGGCAGGACAGGGGAGAGATTCTGTCATAGAGTTGGTCAGTTGCAGAGTGGAAAGGAGCCGGGTTCAAGTTGTGAAGGTTTCTGCGGGTAATTGTTGGCTGCTTGGAGGGATAGGTGTTTGAAGACGAGGAGACTGTGAAGGTGATGAGATTGTGATCAGAGAGAGGAAAGACGGGAGAAAACAACAAGGTGAGTGGAGGACGGTATACATTGTGCTAATGCAAGAGATGAGGTTATGTTGAAGAGTTGGGATTTAGTCGGGTTGTTGACATTAATAGGGATGGTAAAATCTCTGAGAATGATAGTTTGTAGTTCAGAGGAGAGAAAGTAGGGTGCCAGGTGGAGAAATCATCAAGAAAGCGGGACACGGGTCCAGGAGGACGATAGATCACTGCAATCCTCAGAGAGATGGGAGAAAACAGCCGGATGCAGTGAGTCTGGAAAGAAGAGAAGGATAGAGAGGGAGGGTTAGGGAGGACTTGAAAGGTGCTCAGTGGGGATAGAAGCAAACCAACCCCACCACCTTTCTGACCACTGGGTCTGGGTGAGTGGACAAAAAGGTCATGGAAGGAAATAGAAGCGATCCCCCCATCCACACATTGGAGGTGGATGGGGGAATCCTCCCCGCTGCACTCTTGTATTCTGACAATGGGGGGACTCCTCCGCTCTCAGAATACACAGATCAGCACTGAAGCTATTGGCTGCAGCCGCTGGGGGAGTGGCTTTTATCCGGCAGTGGCCACACATGGATGGAAATGTGAGCGATCCCTGCTGAACCAGCTGAATTTCCATGGATCTATGGTCACCTTCAGTGACTTCCTCCCCTCCCCCTCATCTCCTTCATGATGGAAGTCATGCTGAGATCATCTCCCATTGGCTGAGCAATATTCTCATTTGTCTCTCAGCTCCTTCTTGCTATTCCTCGTCCTGCCTGTTGTTTCCTTGGATTGATTTTCTGTGTAGTGACCCCGGCTTGGTCTCTTGGATGCGCTCGTCTGTTGCTTGCCCTGACCTTTCTCCTGATTCCTGGATCTCCTCCTCATCTCTCCTCCATATCCTCTTACACAGCTTTTCTCCACACCTGCAGTGACCCTGGGGGGAGGAAACTTGGCACCAGCACGCCGCCAAATCCATCCCCACCATTAGGGGCTCTGGAGACAATTGTCTGCTATTTACACTCCGTTCCTCCGCACGTCACCTGATCACATGACAGCTTACTTCCACAGATTCCGGAGAGATTTCTGGATGGTAAAGGTCAAAGGTCACTCTTCAGTTTAGGAGAGGTAGGACGCACCCAGGAACAAGGATTTGGTTTGCATGGGAGCCTCATATAGAGGACCCCTCAAATCTCCCCATCCAAATGTCCCTCCATACGGAGTCAGAGAATCCTATGACATCACACTGACCTCACAGCTCCTCCTCCCAATGTCCCTCCATCCAGAGTCAGAGAATCCTATGACATCACACTGACCTCACAGCTCCTCCTCCCAATGTCCCTCCATCCAGAGTCAGAGAATCCTATGACATCACACTGACCTCACAGCTCCTCCCCGAAATGTCCTCCCCCAATGTCCCTCCATCCAGAGTCAGAGAATCCTATGACATCACACTGACCTCACAGCTCCTCCCCCCAATGTCCCTCCATCCAGAGTCAGAGAATCCTATGACATCACACTGACCTCACAGCTCCTCCTCCCAATGTCCCTCCATCCAGAGTCAGAGAATCCTATGACATCACACTGACCTCACAGCTCCTCCTCCCAATGTCCCTCCATCCAGAGTCAGAGAATCCTATGACATCACACTGATCTCACAGCTCCTCACAGCTCCCCCCCAATGTCCCTCCATTTGCTTTTTTTTCTGATGTCCTCTTAGGATGTAGGAGCAGGTACTTGTTATTCTCACTAACAAAGTGGGACTGTTTGTCCTGTTATATGTAATGACATCAGAACTGCTTACTCCAAGCTTTATACCCTGACTTAGTGTGGGGGTCCTGTGGGGGGGGGGAATTATACTCAGCCTGAAGTGGGGCTTTAATAAAATGGAGACCTGAATGGAGAGGTGAGGAGGATTCTGGGAATATCTTTTGATGTGACTATTTGTGTTCAGATGTAGAGTTTTTTCCTCCTGTGAAGTCTGGAGATCATATGACATCACATTGCCTCCACCTCCCTCCCTGATAGAAGAGAGAAAGAAGAAGAAGATTCTAGAAGTCACCAGAGAGATCACTGAGCTGCTGACAGGAGAGGTGAGCGGTGCCGGGAATTCTGGGACATTCTCCAGTAACAGACAAGGGATGTGTCTGGATGGTGACTGTATCATTGTGTGTGTCAGGTTCCTATAAGGTGTCAGGGTGTCACTGTCTATTTCTCCATGGAGGAGTGGGAGTATTTAGAAGGACACAAGGATCTCTACAAGGACGTCATGATGGACAATCAGCCGCCCCTCACATCACCGGGTAAGAGGAGACTTTATTGTAAAGAGAGAGAGCAGTACGGAGGATCCACCTAGATCCCCCATCATCTGATAAACACATAGAAACAATGGATTCAGTCAGTGTGTGTGTTTCCTACAGATGGATCCAGTCCATGGGAACCCACCAGAGAGATGTCCCCGTCCTCTGTATATCCCGGGATTCCACACAGGAAGGTCACACCATCCCTCACCATCATCAGGTAGATGATGACAATTATTGGTAGTTGTGATTTATACACAGCATGTTTGTTACAATGAATGTTTTATTATATCTTTCAGAGTGGAATCCTCGGGGATGATAATATTGATGTTAAAGAAGAGTATAAAGAGGAGGATGAGGAGTATGGAGTGATGGAGGAGTTTTCAGAAGGACACAAGGATATGATGGAGCCACCTAATACCAGGAACCCACCAGAGAGATGTCCCCCCCGTCCTCTGTATTCCTGGGATTCCACACAGGAAGGTCACACCATCCCTCACTATTACAAGGTTGGTGGGATGGAGCATCTAGAACATGGAACTTGTAGAGACAATGTGTGATTTTTTTGTGTGAATTTTTTTACAGATGATATTTTCTCTCATTTCCTTGATTTAGAGTGGAGATCCAATCGATATAGAATTTGAGGTGAAAGCAGAAGAAGAAGAGGCGTATGTGAGGGATGATCAGCAGTCTATGGAGGAGGATGGAATAACGGGGACATTTATAGAGGAGGACACTCCTACAGAGATCAGCACAGGTGGGTCATGAACACTAAATCCATTCCTCCACCCATACTGCTCACTGATTGGTCCAGAGTAGGAGGGGGCGGGGACTGGGTGATATCAGCCTGTAATCCCCTGGTCACTTTCCTGAGCTGTGTTCCCCGTCCTGTATTCCTGGATTTCTCTCGGATAATCTTCCTTCTCTGTGCTGCAGACACAATTTATGTCTCTAGACTGGATTTATGGAGGTTCTGGGGTTCAGCTGGCAGCAAAATTCTGTTTTTTTTTACTCTAAGCATTGCATAATGTAGGCACCCAGGACATGTGACTGGGGTCTCCTGCCTTGTGCCTGACTCTTCCAGGGGACCTTCTCTGTTATCTGCTGGCTGTGCCGGGTGGAGGGATATGTCTGTAGTGTCTCAGACCCAAGTCACTGAGTGCAGTCTCAGGAGATGGGAGGCAAGCAACCCTTTAACCACTTGCCCTCCTGAGAATTTACCCCCCTTAATGACCAGGCCTCTTTTTGCTACTCGGCGCTGCACTAATTCAACTGATAATTGCGCGGTCATGCAATGCTGCACCCATACAAAAAAATTTATGTCCTTTTTTTTACACAAATAGAGCTTTCTTTCGGTGTAATTTGATCACCTGTGCGTTTTTTATTTTTCATGCTATAAACAAAAAAAGGCCCTATTTATCATGTTGACAATGAAAAAAATTTGCACTATAACTAATGAAGAAAAACATATATCCTTTACTTTCAGCTATAAAAAATATATAGTAAACTCAAAGTCGGTTATAAATTTAGGCCAAAATGTATTCTGCTCCATGTTTTTGTAAAAAAAAAAATCCCAATAAGTATATATTGATTGCTTTGTGTGATACATTATAGCCTGCACTATCTACAAACTATGGTATAGATACTGCAATTTACGCCATTTTGTTGCTATACAGCGCTGCGCTAGTTTAACAGACAATTACGCGGTCACAATATACGGTACATAAATTTAAATTTACATCTTTTTTTCCCCACAAATTGAGCTTTCTTATTCTTTCGGTGGTATTTGATCGCCTGTGTGGTTTTTATTTTTTGCGCTATAAAAAAAAAAAGCTGACAATTTTGAGGAAAAAAAAAACAATATTTTGGACTTTTTGCTATAAAACATTCCATAAAAAAAAATGCAAAAATAAAATTTAGTCATAAATTTCTGACCCCCCCAAAATGTATTCTGCATTCCATGTCTTTGCTAAAAAAAAAACCCCAATACGTGTAAATTAATTGGTTTATGTGAAAGTTATAGCGTTTACAAATGGCGGGAAAGATACTGGGATTTTTAGGGTTTTTTTATACTAATAATGGCGGCGATCAGCGAATTATGGTGGGACTGCGGCGGACATTCTGACATTATACTACTAACTTGGATCATTGACATCCCCTGACCCAATACAGTGATCAGTACCAAAAATTAAAAAACACTGACACTACTAATGGCACTGGGGGAGGAAGGGGTTAACTTTACTTTGCAGGGAAGGGTTATAGGAGTGAGGGGAGTGTTTTACTACTCCGGGGTGTGTACTGGGCGGGACAAGGCTGATCGAGAAAGAAAAACTGTTCTTTTTCTCATCAGCTCATCCTCGACCCCTGACAGGGAAGTGACAGACAGCACAGCTACTGCAGCTGTGCTCTCTGTCACTGTTTGCCGCCGATCGCTGGGAAATAGCCGCTAAGGAGCGGCTGTGACCCGGCGACTGACATCTGCGGCGGAGATGTGGGACAAATAGGGCATGGCGCGCCTAGCGTGCCCCCTATATTTGTTTACAAAACACACGTTTTAAAACGTGGTTTTTTGCCTGTGAGTGCCGCCCTGCCGCCGTATATGTACAGTGGCTGTGCGGCAAGTGGTTAAGAACCTTTAATTACTGAATAACAATATGAGTCCTGACCATTACACTATATACTCTGTGTTGTACATTACATACTCCTGACCCCTGCACTATATACTCTATGTTGTACATTACATCCTCCTGACCCCTGCACTATATACTCTATGTTGTACATTACATACTCCTGACCCCCCCTGCACTATATACTCTGTGTTATACATTACATCCTCCTGACCCCTGCACTATATACTCTATGTTGTACATTACATACTCCTGACCCCTGCACTATATACTCTATGTTGTACATTACATACTCCTGACCCCTGCACTATATATACTCTATGTTGTACATTACATACTCCTGACCCCTGCACTATATACTCTATGTTGTACATTACATACTCCTGACCCCTGCACTATATACTCTATGTTGTACATTACATACTCCTGACCCCTGCACTATATACTCTATGTTGTACATTACATACTCCTGACCCCTGCACTATATACTCTATGTTGTACATTACATACTCCTGACCCCTGCACTATATACTCTATGTTGTACATTACATACTCCTGACCCCTGCACTATATACTCTATGTTGTACATTACATACTCCTGACCCCTGCACTATATACTCTATGTTGTACATTACATACTCCTGACCCCTGCACTATATACTCTGTTGTACATTACATACTCCTGACCCCTGCACTATATACTCTATGTTGTACATTACATACTCCTGACCCCTGCACTATATACTCTGTTGTACATTACATTCTCCTGACCCCTGCACTATATACTCTATGTTGTACATTACATACTCCTGACCCCTGCACTATATACTCTATGTTGTACATTACATACTCCTGACCCCTGCACTATATACTCTATGTTGTACATTACATACTCCTGACCCCTGCACTATATACTCTGTTGTACATTACATCCTCCTGACCCCTGCACTATATACTCTATGTTGTACATTACATGCTCCTGACCCCTGCACTATATACCGTATTTTCCGGCGTATAAGACGACTTTTTACCCCTTGAATATCTTCTCAAAAGTCGGGGGTCATTTATACGCTGGTATACGGCATGCTGACACTTTTTAGGGGGGTGGCGTGGTGCATTACATACTCTCTGCCCGCTGCGCCCCCTCCAGCGGAAGGGACACTAAGTACAGGGGTGGGCAGGGGCTTCTGTCTCTTACCTGGCTGGCTCCGGTCCCGCGATGATCCGGTCCAGGAAGCGCTATGCTGCACCTTCATTCGGTTCGGCCACTGGATGTTCGCGTGGCTGCTCGGCTCCGCCTCCTCACTGGTGATTAGCCGCCGGAACTGTAGCTCAGGAAAGGCACACAGGTGGCCAATCAACGGCGAGGAGGTGAAGCCGAGCGGACCCGCGAAAATCGAGTGAAGGAGTGGCCGGTAAGTGTGACCCGTGCAGAGGTGCTGCTACAACCACATATGCTGGCTGTAGCAGCACCATACTAGAACAGGTGTAATTGGTGTCAGTGGGAGGAAGAGTGCCCCATCATTGGTGTCACTGATACCAATGATGGGGCATTATTCCTGACCCCCACTGACACCAATGAAGGGGCACTCTTCCTCCCCCCCCCACTGACACCAATGATGGGGCACTATGCCTCCTCCCCCACTGACACCAATGTGATGGGGCACTATTCCCCCTGACCCACTGACACCAATGATGGGACACTATTCCTCCCACTGACACCAATGATGGGGCACTATTCCTCCCCCCACTGATACTAATGATGGGGTACTATTTCCTCCCCCCACTGATACCAATGATGGGACACTATTCCTCCCACTGACACCAATGATGGGGGGGCACTTTTCCCCCACTGACACCAATGATGGGGCACTATTCCTCCAACTGACACCAATGATGGGATACTATTCCCCCCACTGACACCAATGTTGGGACACTATTCCTCCCACTGACACCTATGATGGGGCACTATTCCTCCCACTGACACCAATGATGGGGATGCTATTCCCCCCACTGACACCAATGATGGGCACTATTCCTCCCACTGACACCAATGTTGGGACACTATTCCTCCCACTGACACCAATGATGGGGCACTATTCCCCCCCCACTGACACCAATGATGGGGCACTATTCCTCCCCTGACCCAATGACACCAATGATGGGGCGCTATTCCCCACTGACACCAATGTTGGGACACTATTCCTCCCACTGACACCAATGATGGGGCACTATTCCTCCTACTGACACCAATGATGGGGCACTATTCCTCCCACTGATACCAATGATGGGACACTATTCCTCCCACTGACACCAATGATGGGGCACGATTCGTCAATCTGACACCAATGATGGGGCACTATTCCTCCCACTGACACCAATGATGGGGCACTATTCCGCCCACTGATACCAATGATGGGGCACTATTCCGCCCACTGATACCAATGATGGGGCACTATTCCTCCCACTGACACCAATGATGGGGCACTATTCCTCCCACTGACACCAATGATGGGGCACTATTCCTCCCACTGACACCAATGATGGGGCACTATTCCTCCCACTGATATACCAATGATGGGGCACTATTCCCCCCACTGACACCAATGATGGGGCACCACATTCTCCCCACTGATAACAATGATGGGGCACCATTCCCCCCACTGATATCAATGATGATGGGACACGATTCCTGACCCCCACTGACACCAATGATGGGACACTATTCCTCCCACTGACACCAATGATGGGGCGCTATTCCTCCCACTGACACCACTATATGATGGGGCGCTATACTCCTCCCACTGACACCAATGATGGGGCGCTATTCCTCCCACTGACACCAATGATGGGGCGCTATATCCTCCCACTGACACCAATGTTGGGACGCTATTCCTCCCACTGGCACCAATGTTGGGACACTATTCCTCCCACTGACACCAATGTTGGGACACTATTCCTCCCACTGACACCAATGTTGGGACACTATTCCTCCCACTGACACCAATGATGGGGCTCTGTTCCTACTACTACCAATGATGGGACACATATTCCTCCCACTGACACCAATGATGGGGCACGATTCTCCCACTGACACCAATGATGGGGCACTATTCTTCCCACTGGTGTG